AGGCACAATGGTAAGTTTTGGGGATGCATAGATAAAAAGCATAATCTCTTATGCTCAAGGGGTTGGCTTCCATGAGAGAGGTTCATTCGCATCTCATCTTATAGAAGGCCTGGGGAGTTAAGAGTTTAAATTCAGCAAATAAGCTTAAAATTGCATATTTTCAAAGTTACTTCCAAAAATCCCTTAGGGAGTCATCGCTTTACATATTATCTTCCAACAAGTGCAACACAGATGTTTTTCACCCATTGTTGGAAACTGCTGATTGCTTTATTTTGTTGAACACCAAATAAAATGGCCACTGTGCACTTAGGAGCCACTTTTCTCCTCCTCCACTCTCAGTGCTCTAGTCCTCTGGACCAAACTGGCCTCCTGGTTGGTCTTCCTGCTTCCTCCCTTGCTCCCCTACAGCCAGAGTAATCCTGCTTGAGCAGAAGTCAGATCACTCCACTCCTCTGTTCAAAACAAGCCAATGTGCATCATACTCACAATGGCATCTGAAGTTGTCCTGGCTGTGGCCATCAAGGCCCCCACATGATGTGACTCCTGTCTACTTCCCCTGCGTCACCTCTCACCATATTCCCTGTCACTCCCTACACTCCAGCTCCCTACACTCCAACGGGAGCACTTCCTCCTGCATGCCAAACAATACTTAAGCCTCAGGACTTTGGCGTTCCCGGGCTCTTTCTGCCTAGAACATCCTTTCCCCAGTTAGTCCCATGGGACCCTTCACCTCATTCAGGCCACTGCTTAAAATGAACCTGGGCAGGAAGCTCTTCCCTGAGCACAGTGTATAAAGTAGCATTTATTCTCATTTTCTGGCCTGTTGATCTTGCATAATGCCTCTTCGTTTATTGCTACCTGAAACTGGGCATCAGCCTCCCTCCCTGACAAGCAGCCTCTACAAGGCGAGCAGGACTTTGATCATCTCTGTACTTTAGTGTATCCCCAGCTCTCGGGACAGTGGCCTGACCAGTACTGAGTACTCAGGAATATGTGTTGAGTGAATGAAAGGATGGGTGGACGGATGGATGTATGGATAAACAAATGGATATACCTTTATCCATTTTATCCATTGGTAAAGAGATATACACCTCTAGGTGGTAGAGGTTGGAGCATGCCACCTAGATCACACTTTCAGGACTGAGGCTCGCATTTCTCCAGCTACCAGGAGTACTGTTTGCTGTTGGCTTCCAGCTATGGGCTCTCCAGTAATTGCTGACAGCTGCCCCTTCCTGGGGGGGCAGCTTGTAACCACTGACTGGTTGACTTGAAGGTGCATAGGGCTGGCCCTTGCAACTCAATCTGGGACAATTCTAAAGGCTCAGTGGCAATTGCACCCTGGTTTAACTTTTCCTTACCCAATTCCGCTCACTCTAAAGACATAGGCCCCCAAGATGACTCCCCAATAAATCTGTTGCTCACAAATCTCCATCTCAGACTCTGTTTCCAGGAGACCTGATCTAAGACAATGTGGTGCAAAAAATGCACATGTAAAAACACTGGAATTTTATGCAGGTCAGGATTTTCTCACCCCACAAGCAGCAATTGCAACTGAGAAAACCGAGGAGTCCAGAGATTGGAATCCACCCCTTCAACCTCACCCGGAGGGATCTGTTCCCAGTAGAAACACTGGCAAAAATCACCTAAACTCTGGGACTGCTTCCTCCTCCCTCTGTTCTTCTGTTCCTCTCCCCAGACAGCTTACAGAGCTGAGCTCCATTACAGTGAATGCAGATGTGATGGAAGACACCATCTCATCATATCCACTTGACCAGGAAAAGCATCTAACCCAAGGCAGACAGGCAGGCTTGCTGCAGAGTCTGGACAGAACATTTCTCCCCAGAAAGGGGCAAGTTGGACTCTGATACACCTGACTCTGAACAGCTGATGGCAGAAAGTTCAGCAGGAACTGAAAAGATGCCCCAAGAGAAGCCCAGGAGCATTGTGTGAGCTGAGGTCAGGAAGATGTCGAAGCATCAGAAAGCAGAAAATATGCGGTAGGAAAAAATTCTGTGAAATAGAAAAATAATATAGAGTAGAGGGTGGAGGAGGGCAGCTGTTGGAAGGGGAAGAACAAGGAAATTTTTTTTTTTTTAAAAAAGAAGCATATAGAGTACAAACATTCAATTATAAGATGAGTAAGTTCTGGGGATCTCATGGATAGCACTGGTGACTGTACTTAATAATACCATATTATTTACTTGAAATTTGGTAAGAGAGATTTGAAGCTTTTTCAGCACACACATACACACACACAAATGGTAACTACGGGTGGTGATGGATGTGTTAATTACTCTGACTCTGGTAATCAGTATACAATATATAGCAAAGAATCACACTGTATACCTTGAATATATGCAACCTTTATTTGTCAGCTAAATACATTTTTTAAAGTGCATGACCAGCTGGGTGTGGTGGCACATACCTATAGTCCCAGCTGGTTAGGAGACTGAGGCTGGAGGATCTCTTGAGCCCAGGAGTTAGAGGCTACAGTGAGCTATGATGACACCATGGCACAACAGCCTAGAGCAAGGCCCCATTTCTAAAAGAAATAAAGAAATAAATTATGTGGTCAAGGATAATCAAGATAATGTCATGAAATATTGTTTGCAGTAGCCAAATTATCTACTGTTCCATTAGTAGGGGAAAACTGGTTAAATATGCTACAGTACACCATATTATGGGATGCTATGAGCCATTAAAGATGAACACGCTCTATTTTAAAATGAAATGAATGAATGGATAACATCTAAAATAAAGTTTTAGTTCTTATTAGAAAAAAAAGAAATAAGTAGCACACACAGAAAGGGGAGTCAAGTTAGGAGAGAAACCTTAGAGTACAGAGCCGCAGGCTCTAGCTGCTGTCATTCTGAAAATTTCTCAGATGCTGAGTGACAATCCATACGCTGTGAGGCCCATACATACCGTGGATCTCCCGGCCCTACTTGTTTAACTTTCCCATTTTCATTACCACGAATGTGGCTGGGATTATTATTTTTCTAATTCCCATGTGTACTCTGTCAATAAACCCATTACTTGAGGCTTATGGAGTTCTTTAAGCCCCAAAATATCTTACTGGCAAATATAATTATTATAAAATAATAATGACCGCCATTAAAGACTACCTGCTACCTACCAGGCACTCACTATCTCATAAATCCTCACAACAATTTGAAAGAATTTACAGGTGAAGAAACTAAGTGTTTACAGAGAATGTCCAATACTAGGGGATTGGTTGGATGAATTATTCAAAGTCAGGTCAACGTGGCTGAACTGGATTCAAAACTAGTTCTGTTGGATTCTATATGCCAAATGAGTCTGGTTCCTAAGCACAAGTTGTAGCAGCTGTGCCCTGTTCTATGGTCCTATGTGTGCCTTCGCCACCTGTTGCAGTAACATGGGGAGCTTGGTGGAGGGTCCTAAGTGGTCATGAGTGTCACAGTTTTGCTCTTGGTTCTAAGTTGGAAGCCATGGCTGATCCTTGGTGGATTTCCAAAGGCCAGTGCTCAAGAGGGTTTTCTTCCCAGCGAACTCCTGGTCTGGGAGAACAACAGGAATAAGAAGAAGATGCTATAAGGAAGTCCGACTGTGGATCCTTAAAGAAAATCAGACAAAAGACTGCAAAAACAAGCCATCCTATCACTCTCTTTGCTAGACCATATGGATAAACAGAAACCAAGCTGAAGCAAGGCTCCTCTCTCTCGCAGGTGATCCAAACGTCCATTTACCTAACCATGCTTCTTTTTATGCACGCATACATATGCATTTTACAACTACGCCATCTGTGTTACCATAGTTATGGTCCTGCCAGCATTTCCATAAAAATGATAGTAAATCTTTCTTTTCTGAGGTTCATAAATAGCCTATAAAAACTGGGTCTGGGCTGAAACTTATTCCCAACAGTTTCCAGCCAAGACACTAATAGATTTTGTTAGCAAATTAAACAAATATCAATTTACTTGGCAGGCTAAAGAAGTAACAAAAGTTTACTGTTTCCAGAGGCAAATACGCATTCACAAAGGAGAAAAATAAACTAAATCCCAGCATAACCAAGATTACAGTCTTCCCCTTAATTTTAATGTCTGTAAGCCATTCCTTTGATTAATTTAAAATGTTAAAATGTCAGGTTAGTACTGTACAACCTACAGATGTTTCCTGATTGCATTTGCTAGAGTTTTTTTTTTTTGTAATAAGCAACAGAAATGGACAGTGGCTACTTTAGGGCAGATGGAAATTCACGGAAGGGATTTGCAGGATCTCAAGGGATTATGGGGAAGGGGGAATGCTGAAGAAGCAGGGTTGAAATGGATGGGGAGCAGATATAAATTGTCTCGGTAGCACACACTGCTTGATCGCGCTGTCTGGAATGAAGGCATTCTAACCCTTTCACCGTTCTCTGCAATGTTTCGGTTTAGATTCAAAATATCAGGAAAGGGTATGGCCAGCCAAGCCTGAGCAATGTGCTTGCTGCACGGCGTATCTAAAGCATTTGCTCTTGGCGTCACCATGGGGTGGGGGTGAGGGGTGGACTCATTCAGCTGTGTCATTTCTAACTGCCAAGAAAGAGAGACAGAGAGAAACAGAGACAGAAAGGAGGAAAAGGGAAGCAGGTGGGAGGGACAGAAAGAAAAAGAAAAGAGATAGAAAAAAGAAAAGGAAGGAAGGAAGAGGGAAGGAGGGAGGGAGCTCGCGAGAGAAAGACAGAGGATAAAACACATGAATGTCCAATACTAAGCAATCAGATGAATAAATTATGCTAAAAATACACAATGGACTATCACACAATCATTAGAAGTTATGTTATCAGAAAAATATTGAATGACTCAGAAAGCTGCCCTCAAGAGAGTATTAAGTAACAAACTAGGCTACCAAACAGTGTGTCCAATATAATCCCATTTTAGGAATAAACAAATAAATAAGAAAGCATGTGTGCCTAGAAAAAAAATTGGTAATGGGATTTCAAGTTATTTTTAGTTTCTTATTTCAGCTAATCTCTAAGATCTAAGTTTATAAAAATAGATGTATATTGCTTTCGAAAGGATGGTTTTAAAAAATGAGAAGCACTTCTCAGGTTTCAAAACCTTGTCCTGAGTCTCGGAGGGAAATAATTGCAACCACTGTGGTGGAATCGCCCTGTTCTGTGGATGGAGACGTGGAGGATATTCTCAGAGAGGATATACTCAGATCGAATCACAAAGCAAGAACCCAAGATCTCAGGCTCAAGGTTTTGCCTGGCTGCTCCTAACCGCAGGTGTTCTTATCCTCTAGGAAGGCTGAAGTCACTTGGATGTGGCCTTGACAAAGGGGTAATCCCTGGGCATTCCACGCTCTGCTTGTGGATCAGGCCAGCTTCCCTGCTTCAGCTTTGAGAGCTGCCTCCGAAGCAAACCAAGCTTTGGTGTTTTTCTCCTCTTTTGTCAGAGAGGGTGATTACAGTAGCATTGGACATCCTGAGTGTTGTACCGGAATCGCTCAATGGTATCTTTTGCATGCCACTTTGAAATCATCTCTGTGTCTGAAAGGTCACACCCGCTGGCTAAATAGCATTGATTTCCAGGCACTTACAGATATACGTGACAACTCCTGAAAGGGGCTTTCGTGGATTCAAGAACTGAGCCAACGGGATGCTGTTGGTAAACATCTCCTCTGCACAAGGCAGGCAACAGTCACTGTGAAAGAGAATAAATCTGGAGGAGTGTGTCACCAACAGACCTGAAACGGAGCTGTGCTTTCCTGAGGTGAAGGCTGCAACATCCTACCCGGGTCATAGCTTAAGGACTGACATTTGGCTGACCCGACACCACGATGGCCCCGAGAAATGAGCTCCTGTTTGCAGCTCCTCCTCTACGCACCCAAGGGACTGGGATTCCACGATGCAAACACGAACTAGGCTTATGGGTCTGCAGGGTGAGGCAGAGGCACAGGGTTGATGGATGCTGCTTTTCACTGTGAATTCAGAAAGCTCTTAGAAAAAGAGCAGTCAAATTGAATTTAAATGCTTTTCATTTGAGATACTGTACTTCAGTCAGCGCCGGGGGCTGATGGCAATTTGTGATTTTAGGAAGTCAGTCGAGCCATGAGCCCAGCTTTTCTGCTAGCATCAAAAACGGTAGCACGATGTTGGCGGAGAGTCTGTCTCATGTTGCCCCAGGTGTCTTTGCTAGGCAGACCACCCTCGTGCCCACATGGCCTCGGCTGTGTGTGAGGACACCATGGACCTCCATCCTAGGAAAGGGACCACATTGAAAGCCCAAGCAAGTGCGTTTGCTAATCCCCTAAACCAAATGCCAAATTAATCTGCCAAATTCCAGTAGAGACAACTTCTGCCTATTGTATGGGTTTCTACTGCTTGTTCTTCTCTCAGGCATTTAGGTAAGAGTGCGTTCCTGGATTCTTTCCTATGTAGTGTCGAGTTTTCAACAAGGGTAAAAGAACATCTGGTCTAGTGTCAGATGGTCCTGGATTATAATACCAGCTCCACACTGACCAGCCATGTCACCTCGGAAAATTATCTAATCCTGTGGTTCTCAAAGTATGGTGCAGGGTTTCCTGAGGGTCCCTGAGATCTTTTTGGGGCTATGCAAAGTCAAAACTATTTTTATAAGAATACTACAATGTCCTTCATCTTTTTCACTCTCATTCAGTCATGAGTGTGCAATGGAGTTTTCCAGAGCCCATGAGACCGGTGACGTGGTCATCATTTTGATGGCCAATGGAATGTGTGCTTGTATATTCTTGTGTTTTAAATGTTTCTGTTTTAATTTCTAATAAGATAAATATTGATAGAAATAATCCACATAACAAAAGCTCTTTAGGATTCTCAGTAAGTTTTAAAAGTGTTCAAGAACCACTGATCTAATCTTTTTGCATCTTTACTTCTGGATGTATTGACAGGCTATTGTGAAGATTAAATTAGATGAAGTATGTGGCATTGGGAGAAATATACCAAAATCTATCCTTCCCTGCTCAAATATAGTCATTATCTCAGGTTGATCTGAGACGTTTAGCTTTACCCTTTATGGGAATGAGTATCATACCTGCTTGGAAATACCCATTGCCCTGTCTCTATAAGGCCAGGCCCTTAGTAGTCTCAGATTAAGTGCTCCAGGGCTGTCCCCTTTTATCCAATTTCCTACCTCAGCCTTCCATGTCTGGCTTCTCTGTGTGTCACTTCTGTAGATATTAGGTGCACTGTACTTTATTGAAGGGTATCTACCTGGTAGGTACCATAAGACCACACTCCAATGGGATAGAGCCAGGGTCTTCCTTGAAATGCATGGTCATTTCTGGCATCAACCATTGCAGGCTGAAGAGGGTTCTCAGGCAGCAGCCAGATATTGGAGAAGAACTCCTCAGTGTCTCTCTGGGTCTCACTCCCTTGGGCCAGGATTGTCAAGATGCAGGATACTTGTGGTGGCTCCCAGAAGTGCAGGAAAGATGGCCCCTGGCACCAGGAGACAGACCAGGCACCTGGCAGAAAGGACTTCCACATTGGCAGGTTTCTTCATACCTATCAATTCCCAAACCCTGCAAATTAACTTCTCAGGGGCTCATTGGTTCTTAAAAAAGGAAAAATCAAACAAACAACACAATCCCGTTTCCCCATCCCATCATGTCTGAGATCCCAACACACCAGCATCCTCCCCAAGAGGTCAACTGTGACATCCTGTGTCAGAAGAAATGGAAAGCTTGTGGCAGGACAACCCTCCAGAGACAGCAGGGACAGGGAGGAAGTCTGCATGGGCTGGATATTTCTCAAGTAAGAATATCAGGACTTGCAACTGAGTAGATGATGGGGGTGAGGGAAAGCGAGAAAGGGAGGCTTACCCCAAGGGGCTGGCCTGGAATACAGTCCCAAGGGACAGAGAAGCCACTCGCTGGAATAGAGCACAATGGAAGGGGAGCTGCTGGGCTGGGAGGGGAGAGTTAGAGATTCTGGTCTGGAGTCCAGGCTAGAGATCAGCCTCAAGGTCACAAAACGGCAGCTGGATGCCACAGGGACTGAGCAACATTTCTGAAGCAAGCCCAGCAGAGCTTACAGTAGTAGAGCAACGAAGCTGGCAGGAAAGCAGCGATCAGTCTGTGAGAGTCTCCAGAGTCCCTGTCGCTCATTCTTACTGTTGACTGCCTCTCCTGACACCACTTCTGGCTTTCTGACTTGGTTTTCCCTTTGGCCCTCAGATCTGCTTTTGTACCCCAAAATTCTGGCTCTCTCCCTCTGCTCCCCAGGTTATCCCTCTTCCGAAAGCTGCCCTCCTGAAACCGCCTCAGAGCACCTGGAACATCCACAGCGAACACCCCGGGGCTGGTCCTGCTGTTCAGTGCAGCACGCGGGCCTCATTTGTTGCTTGCTCTCAACATCCCCCCAGGAAATCCTTTCTTCTTCCTTTGCTGAGTCCCTTTATTAGAAAATGAGGGAGGGGCGAGAACACACAGGGAGAGCTCGTAGAACAGAAGAGGGAAGGATCCCAGGAGAAGGAAAACAGTAAGGCAGCCATTAGCACACTTGAACAAACTCTCTTCTTTCTTCTACTGTGTGCTTTTGCAAGCCCTGTTTTCAAGGGAATTATCTTAAATAGCTAATTCAGAGAACGCATGTGTCATTTTGGTACATTTGGATTGGAGCCAGATCTCTCCCCTTCAAAATGATTCAGTTCACCGTAGCAAATGTTATTCCACTCCACATGTAACAACGGAAACAACAACAACAATAACAAAAACATCTGCAACCTGCACAGTGGTTTGCGTCTAATAATCATTTGTATAAACAACCTCTTCTATTTTAAGAATATAGGTGGCCCTTTATAATTCACTTTTGACTGATATTTGTTGTTTACTAAATATTTTATAGGAAGATGAGAAATGATGCCAGGTGGGGCGAACAGTTGGATTAGTTTGGATCACTTACAAGCCTTTGCTGAGTGATGAGTAAACTGAAGGTCCATAGTAGCCAAGTTCCCTCCTAGGTGGTATTACAGCAACAAGGGCATGTTTTATCTGTCAATTCTGACCTAAGTGACAATTAGTAAATTCCTAAAAATGCTACTTGTCCATAATCTACCTGAAATAGATGAAGGAAGTTATACTAGTCAGAATAAGCTAGGTGTTGCTGCAGTGACAAACATTCTGCTGGTCCCAATGGTTTGAATAGCAAATGTTCTTTTAAGATTCATGTTCATTGTTTGTAGTTGGAGGTATTTGCTCGACATCATCTTCACTCAGAGACCCAGGCTAGTCACACAAAAAGGAGAGAGAGAGAATGAAGAATCATTATTCACTCTTAATTCTAGATGGTGTATATATTATTCTGCTCACATTGTATTAATATTAACCCATAAGTCACACCAACTGGCCTTAATTCAACAGGGAATTGAAAATAGAAAACTAAATATTATGACAGGTATAAAATTTGACAGAACATGGATAAAGATGTCTTCGTTTTTGAACTCTATGCTCATCAGCAAGATATTTTGCATGAAGACAAAAGCACAGGGAAAAATAAAATATTGTGACCCCCCCAATGCACATTGAAATTTTGAATTTTGTGGTGTTTAGAAGTAAGATATTTGAAAAAAAATACATATAATCCACATCTTATTTTATCAATGAAATTCAAGCCATTTATATGACTTACCCAGGATCACATAGCTAGCTAGTTAGTAGTCTAGTAGTCTTCGAAATAGTAGCCCCGCAACAGCTGAACTTTAAAATTACAGTCATAAAGTAACAGTTTTCATGAGAAGCATTTTATGTTTACAATCATTAATTAGTGCTTCATTCTATTTGTAAGGAGCTAATTGCCCCTATTCCAATGGGAATAAAGTCAAATCACCACTCAGAGATCCTATGTTCTCTGCTCTCTGCTATAAACCTGGACAACCTTAACAGATAAGCAGTTGCCTGTTACTTTGTCTGTGAGCTTTTCCTTCTAGCAAAGCCTCAGGGTAAAGCCTGAACATATGCTTAAGCATGACATTTGAAGTTAAGTAGAAGGGTTGGCAAATATTAAAGAGACCTAAGAGAGCCTGATCCACTCCAAACAGAGTTCTCCAATAACCATGTGCTCCTAAAATTCCACAGAGGAAATGAAAGCTATGAGAAATTAATTGCAGCACAAAATATCTTGACCATAAACTTTGGCCTAATTAATTTCCCTTCTGAGCTCACTTAACAAACATCAAGCTGGCATGTGTACTTTTCTCACAAGACCTGTTCTGTTGGAATTGTAGACTTATCTCTAAGAATTACAGAGAAACATGAAAAATAATAAAGAAAATCCATGAGAAGAAATGACACCTCTACTCTGAGGTCGGAATGGGTATCTTTTAATTATGTGTCGATAACAGGATTGAACTTTGAGGACTGTACCTGAGAAATAGCCAGTGAGAAATCATCCATGTCCTTAATGAAGACAATCTTGTGTCATCTGGTTGTGATACTCCTTTAAGATGTAGGAGAGCAGAAGGTAAATTAGTAAATCATGGCATCTTTCAAGTTTTATGCTCCAAACATGGTTCCACTGTAGGGCCATGTAGGATGTTCCTCTTGACCATCTATCTGCTTGACGGTCACCTTACCACAGGTACTGTGATGGGATGGCTCACAGCTACCACCCCAAGCTCTGAGAATTAGTAGGTGTTTCTTTAAGTGAAGCCCCACCAAATCTGTTCTTAGCTTTGTCCTCTAAGGGGAAACAGAAAAAAGCTGTTCCTTCTTCTACTACTCTTTCAAATATTTGAAAGCAGTTTTCATGTTTCCATTTGGATTTTTATAACACGTAAAGTGAGCTGGCTACTAAGAACCTTATGTATACCTCAAGTGTGTCAAGGTACTTGAGTAGCCAGATCATGAGTCTGTGCTCTATGCATCTATACAGAGCACGTTCTCTGAGATCACGTGTGCTGCCAGATTGCGGAAGTTGACCTCTACCTGGCGGACTGAGTGTGTGTCCTGGGAAAGACATTTTGGAAAGAGAAAAAGCAAATTTAGAGAACTGAGACCCTAAGGGCACAGCCATTGGTAGAAGAACTTTAATCTCCCGGATGTTGCCAGTAGAAGTCAGCCTGCCATAGAATGAGCAGGAAGCTTTGTCCATGCGTTGTTGTTGTTTGTGCTGCTGCTCTTTTGATTGTGTAAGAGCAAGTAAGAAGGCTGACAACCGCAGGGACATAAGTATATTTCTTCTTCTTTAGCTTTTATTTAATAATCGAAAATTGAATGTGAAGTCTGGCTAGACTTGGAAGTAAGTAAGGAAGATATGAAACCCAAAGAACCACAGCAGCCCAAAGATTACAGGATATGAGAACAGACTAGAAGTGGGGTGGGGTGGGGGCGCTATCTTTAGCTGAAGAAGAAATTGTTTGGTGGTTAAGATAAACACAATATCAAATTATGTGAGTTACCTACACTTAGCAGTGGTGATCTTTGTGTTGTCTTGCAATCCCATAGCGAAAGCATTCCATAGATTCTACATTATTCATACTGTAGATAAAAAAAAAACAGTAACCATTTGTGTTGGTTCCATCATTTGTCATGGGTAAGATCCCAAAACTCATATGACTCAGCATAAAGTTCTCATCAGGAAATTTCTTCCCATGGATGAACTTGCTACCATGGCCATTATGACAGGTAAATTCTCCAGCCTAGCACATAAACTCTATAATAATTCTGTAAAAGCATAAACCTTATCACAAAATCCTTTCTCTCCATTGCAAAAACCACTGACATTTCCTGCTGACCTTTGGAACTTGGATTAAAACAGCTTGAAAGAGATATATCCTGGGAGCTCCATAAATGTGGATGTGTTGTATTATACTTGGGAGCTGACCACGGCTGGGAGCAGGAGCAGAGTGGACTGGCAGGACTGGTGCTTTGAGTGATGGCATCTGAAAAACAGGACCCGAACACACTTAAAAGGGCAAATTTGAAAGTACATATATAGAAAACTCATATATAGAAAACTCTATATAAGTATGTTGGTGTTTTTATGATTTAAACCACATCTCTCACAGGAGTGAAGGATGTCTTCTATAAAAGTATTTTAAAACATACCAGAGTAGAATTAGGGGTTGAATGTATAAAGCTCAGTACTTTAACTGCTTTCAGAATGTCTTTGCTCTATGGGAGCTGCTAATCTGAACTTTGTCTAATTTACAAGCAAGTAACTTGAGTCACAAAAATATTGACCACCCTACTTGATCTCTCAGTAGCACTCAAAACTATTGACCTTTCCCTCCTTCTTGAAACATTCACTAAGCATAACTAGGGCCCCATGGAAACGGTGCCATACAATCCTTGTACCTCTCTGGCCACAAGCAGCAGCAGTGTTTCTGTCTGGGGGAGGCTTGCCATTGTGCTACAGCTTTTGGAGAGATACCAGCAAATAAGTAGCAAGACCTTTCCACACATCTATAGAACTTGTGATTTTGACTGATAAACCCTCCCTGGAGCATCCACACCCACAAAAAGGTGGTCCCCCAGCCTGAATATCATCTTTATCGGCTTACTTCTCCCTTCCTGTCAGGGAGGGAGACGCCCTAGGACAGTTAAGACACAGCATTCATCTTCCTTGAGGTCAGTTTCCACTTAAGTCATATTTTTCTTTTCTATTCCATATAAGTCATATTTTCCTATTTCTTTGCATGTCTAGTAGTTTAGATTGTATTCTCCACATTGTGGGTATTGTGTTGTAGAGACACTGGATTCTGTTATGTTCCTCCAATGAGTTTTGTTTTTATTGTTGTTTTATTGTTTCATTTTATTTTAATGGGCACTTAGCTTGTTTGTATTTAAACTCTAAAATCTCTGCTCCCAGCAGTGGGTGGCATTTCAGATCTCAGTTTAGTCCTTTTAATTTTAACTGGGATACTTGGATTCTGTCCCATGCGTCCATGGTTGAATGGTCAGCAAGGGAACTGGGATGAGTCTGTAGAGAGAACTTGGGGCTCTCCCTTTCTGGTTCTCACTTTTTCAGAATTCCTCCTCTCTTTGCAGTGGCTGGGGTAGCCCTGAACTCTGTCTTCTAGTTCTTTAAGCTAGTCAGACTGAATTTTAGCAAGTTTTAGCCTACAAACATGATGCTGAGTGAGTGGGGCCTTTGTTCATGTTAAAAGTTATTAAAAAATGGAACACTCACCCAGTGCTGGTCCGCTGGTTCTTTCTTCCAAGGGCAAAACCCATTCCAGTTTTCCAGTTTCTGCCTGCTCTCCAGTGCCTTCTATATATATATATATATATATACACACACACATATATATATATATTTTTGCGCACACACACATATACACATGTGTATATGTGTGTATATATATACTCTGAATACATACATATATATTGAGTATATATTCATACATACTAAGTACATACATATATATGTATATATTCATGTTATAATACATTATTCATATTACTCTTCCTTAGAATTAGCTTCAAGGCAACTCCAAAGTTTGAATCTCTAACTCACAATTTGTCTTACTTGTGTGACTCTGGACAGTTTTCTAAAGTATAAAATCAATATAGCAACCCCTATCTTATAAAATCATTATGAGTCATAAATATAAGAGTGAATGTACCAGTTACATAATAAATGCAAGTTTATTCTCCCCACTTCAGCTCTAAATGAGCACATGGCCAATGGCCAAACACAGACTATTGAGTCTATCAGAATCACTTAAGGAGTTTTTTGTTTGTTTGTTTTTGTTTTTTAGTGGAGTACTGCCAGATTCGCAGAGGAGATTCTGAAGCCAGCCATGGAGCTTGTATTTTTTTTTTTTTTAACTGACAGAGTCTCTCTCTGTCACCCAGGCTGGAGTACAGTGGTTTAATCACAGTTTATTGCAACCTCAAACCCCTGGGTTCAAGTGATCCTCCTGCCTCAGCCTCCTGAGTAGCTGGGACTACAGGTATGCACTATGACACCCAGCTAATTTTTTTTTTTTTTTGTAGAGATGGGGGTCTCACTATATTGCCCAGGCTGGTCTCAAACTCCTGCCCCCAAGCAATCCTCCTGCCTTGGCCTCCCGAAGTGCTGGAATTACAGGCATGAGCCACCGAGCCTGGCAGAGCTTGTATTTTTAATGATCTTCGCCATGGAATATTTCTTAGACAGCTCAGCTATTTTTCTAATCAAAATGATGATGATACACTTTTCTTTCCTTCTGCTGAAAATATTCAAGCCTTTCCAGAACAATGGTTACATTCTGAGTGATTTGTTATAGAAGTTCCAGTGTCTATTTAGTGAAAAAAATAAATAAATAAAAACAATATCATAAAACTATTCATAACAACAATAAATGCAGTAGCACATAATTTATTTTTTAAGTTTCTCTCAGGACTGAAATGCAAAGCCATAATAATATGTACAGAAATAACCTGGAGTGTGGAGTACATACACAAAAACTTATTAACAGGAGACAAAACTAATGTACAATTGAGTATGGGAACCAAATTGTAAACAGACCCACAATTTCTTACTTTCCTTACTCACCAGACTGTTTATGTTGTATACACAGCCCCTTAATGAAGACATAGCCATGAGTTAGGGAATAATGGACTGACTTTGGGTTTGCTTGATAGCCATTGACCATGAGGAATACATGCAAGAGAGTGCCTGTTCCAAGAGTGAGGATTTCCTATAAATTGACTTACTCTTGTTCCTGTTCTATTGAAAGTCCCATTAATATCTACATAGCTTGGCCACCAATAAGTGGATTAGCAGTGCCTTTCAAAGTGGATTAGTGTTCCTTGTGCATTTAATTAAAGTGGACCTCATTCTATCATCCTTAAGAGCAAAATTATGCAGGGAAAAATTTCTCACGTGCAGACAATGACTACAAATATGTCTCCCCCTTGGGTCCTTTAATGTGATCCATTTGTCTGCAGAGTTCATAATTTCTGCAATAACATACAAATTCTGTGCTGCTTCTCCTGAGAACAGAGGTGCCAGCTCTTCCCTGAGTAGGAAGGAAGCAAGAAGGGTCATATCTCTGACATAATATGGACCACACATTTTCTCAATAAGATCTCAGTTGCGAGTCATTTTATTAAATGGAAAAAATACTAATATGCTTTTCAAGTTGGTAAGCTTGAAAAGGGAGAAGTCAAATCAGGGTATTTCTCGGGCTCATAGATGGACTCAGGTCATTAAGCACATTCTCATCAGAAACTACCGTCTCAGGACTTGTTAGTGTCATAACATCAAAGGAAATCATTTCATACATGGGTTGACTTAATGCTCTGGTCTAAACCTGGGTTTTCATTTTATGTAGCTGATCTTACAATAGCAAATATTAATATTTTAGCCCTGAGTCATTTTATGCCCTGAAATGCACTTTCTACTGGATTTTTTTCCATAAGGACAATAATAAATGACCACAAAATTTCTACCCTAGTGGTTTGCAACTATTGCTACCCATTAGAATCACCTGGAAAACAATTTTAAAATTGCATGCCTGGGCCTCGATCTCAGAAGTTCTAATTAAATGTGTCTGGAGTGGGGCCCAGGTATAGTATTTTTTTTCAAAGCACCCTCAGTAATTTGGCAGTCAAGGTAGAGAACTATTGTTCCCTCTGATTCTTCTCTGTCTGTCTGGAGTTTGCAAAAGTGAGCCTTTGCAAGTTCCAAGAAGATAAAATCTTTCTTGCCTTTTTGAGTTAATTACTCTAAAGAGTATTTTTACCTAGAATAAAGAGACAATCCATCTGTTGCGTCTGCCTTTGCCTCTACCACTTGGCTTTCAAAATAGCACTGGCCAGTGTGTGGAAAAGGGAGCCAGGAGGCAGAGCACTCTGGAGGGGAGGCCAGGCTTGCCACGTTCTTGCTGCATTTGGGGAGATGCAGGTAACTCAAGGTAAATAACAGAGAAGGAGAGATAGGAATGCAGAATGCTACTGTTCTAATAAGCATCAGAGGAGACGGTGGGTTTGGGGGTGGAGGGGTTGGTTGGGAGGGGACAATCCAACAATAAAGAATGATGGAGTAGATTACGGCTACAGAGTTAAAGACAAGCTGTAGACATTGGTGACCATGCCCACTGGGTGGATTGAGTGGCTGTTTCTCACTTGCGGCTTCTTTGATTGTATTAATAACAGTCAGCAAAGCCCGAGGCATTTCCTTTCTGCCCCAGCTGCCTAGGCACGTGCTGTAAGATGTCACTGTGCTGAGCCTGGGCTTCTCTTTATCATTTACTTATGTCCCCCACCCCAGACACAAAACATTTACCCCAGAGATTAGACTGGTCTCACAGATGCTCTCGATGATATTAATAAATGATGTCATTACCCAATGACACCTGAGAAAGCACCGAGATAACGCAAATGAGACTCATCTCCAACCACGGATGATATCAAGCATCAAATTTACTTTCGAATCAAAGTTTACCAGACACAGCAAGACACTGCCAACCAGTGTTTCCGCAGAAAGGTCAAGACTGTCAACACAATCCCCAAATGTCAGTTTTCTCCTGCGCCAGAATTGTTGTGGTTCAGGTTTCTCATGTGAGTTTTAAGAACGGCCTGATATGCATCGCGTGAACAGAGGAGCCAGTTCAGCTGCGGAGCGTCTCCTTTTCATCCTTTCACCTTTTCCTGCCTTACCTGTGATGACACCTGACATAGCACAGAGACTATGCAAATGAATTCAATAGGAATCGCTGGTCAGACCTAGGACCAAGTTTATTTTTGATTCAAACTTTATAAGCAATAGCAACACACGACAGTTAGCAAATAAATCACATAGCCAGGTAGCATTTTCTAGAGAGCCATGTCCTATAAATCCATAAATTTAATATTTATTTATAATAAGCAACTGACACAGACTAGGCATGCCTTGCTACAAGTAGCTCACAGAAAAGGACTTTTCCTTATCTTTCTGCTGGTAAATATTGTT